TCCACACACCCCCCCCCAACATACAACAGCTGAAACAATACCACACTCCACAACATAACTGTACCTTTACATAACGCCCAGCCTTATAACTGTACACCTCAAACGGCACAACCGCCGACTTCCCACTGAATTGGAAGGTGTTGGGAGCCAACATATTCTCGATGGGGAAGGAGACAGCTTTGATGGTATCCAGGAAGACCTTTCCTTTGTCAGCCGCATTGATAAAGTCATTACAGACATTTTTGTAACCAGTGCCGCAATACGACCTGAGGGTCTTGTCCAAACCATCGGCAATGGCCTTGACTGCATTGATGACGCTCTCAACCTGGGGGGAGACGTTTTAATTATAGTAAGAGTTTAACGACACTTTCGGTTACCAGAAAACATAGCATCTAATTGTTTTTGTTCTGATAAGTGTTTTATGGCTTGCAACTACATAAGGTCATATGAGCGTGCGGGACACATTAACCATTTTTAGTTTGGTAAGAATTAATTTTGAATTGTGCCAGGGCGGCGGCCGAAGCCTATTCTTATGGAAAATGGAGACTAAAGCAGACAACAGAACATGTTTAGAGAGCAGGAAAGGAGGTGAACGAGAACATTTTAGAGAAGAAAACTTTCTGTCGCTGACAGGTTTCGAGCCCCGGACCTATTGAATAAGAAGCGAACACCGTAACCTCTGGACCACAAAAGCCCCCTATCAGCATCTTAGTTTCTCAAAACTTGTACAAGTACTTACTACCATTCACAAAAGTTCTTTTCGAAATCTATTTTCTCACTTTTTTGTTATTATCTTTTCTGACAGTACAAATATAACACATTGCGAAGATAAAGTTGCATATTGCACACACACAAAATTCGTTCAACAACTTATCTAAACCTGCTCCGACAAAAATCTCACCTCATACATAAGTCGGAACTTTGACCCGCCAGCCGTGATTGGCTGGGACATATCACAGATGGGCACGCCATCAGAGGGAACTCCCAGTGTACAGGAGTGTACGGCCATGTACCACTCACTGAACCAGGGATTGCTTGTGTACGTCTGTACCTGTAGGCCACTCAAATAGTTCCGGAAGTTGCCCAAGGTCGAGTGACGTAGGCTGGGGACCATCAAGGAACAAGTTTCAGAATGGAGGGAGTTCTACTTTTGGAACTTCTGGTCTTTTATAATAAGTACCTTATTTTCATGGCAAGCAGAAACAAATTTCAATATAAACATCTCTCTCTCTCTCTCTCTCTCTCTCTGACATGACATAATAATGTTCATTCAGAGCAGGGGATAAAAGGGGAAAATTAAAAAAACCAGAAATATCAGAGCAACAGAAAAACTTAGGACACACTCACAGCTCCCTCTAACCACTTGCAAGTATTCTTTGAATACACACATTTATTTTGTCTTTTGCCATAATAGCATTGTAAATATTTTCAGCTCCCATTGACCCAATTCCCAATTTAAGTAATTTAAGGTTCAGGCTGTTTTGCCCCTGCCTGTTCAGGACAACCTGGGCTCAGAGGGATGCACACACATTTTTATAATCAACAAACAATACACATACCAGTCTGCTTATTGCTTACCCCTGTTTTCGAAGGATCTAAAAGAAGTCCAAGGCAACTCAATAGTAAGATATAAGAATGTTAACTGAGACAAGCATTTGATTTCACTCCTGAAGATCTTACAGTCATTAATCTTTTTTATCTTTTATTTAAAAAATAATAATTTCTCTTACTACTAAAGACAGCATTCCTCTTTTTTCAAAGTATTCTTTACTCCTTACACAACTTAGATCATTTAGGAGAAGAGCTGTTTCGACCCTGCCATTTAAGAGCTGGGAAAAAGTAGGACATACAAACAGAGACAACAGAGGAAAAGAACAGAAGTACGACCAGCCAGTGGTGCTCTCTAATCACCCATCGATAATAATTGCTCAATAATTCCAAACTATTGAAAGGACCAACAAAAAGAATCCAGCGGAAATATAGTATAATATGTATAACATGAATATATATATGTACATACTGTTTAAAAGACCTCTACACAAGGGCAAAGGAGGAGGAGTGATGCACAGTGCACTGTGTACGGTCGAAATGAAAACAAAAGTTTTGTTCTTAAAAATATAAAAGAGAAAGAGATATAGTCTATTGTGTAGAGAGAAAAGAATAAATGATTTCTTTCGAGAGAGTGCAGAAAGTTAACTGTGCTACATTGTACTTTTTTTCTGAATTTCCATGCATTCAATCAAAATAAGGATTTAGTCAAACTGTCTAAAGGTAATGTAATGTAAATAGAAATAAAAAGACCTCCACAAACAGTTAGTTGTGTGTGCATAACATTTGTAAATGAGTGCATGGGTAAAATAGAGTGTATGTGAGAGTGAGTGTGAGCATGTTAGTGTGTGAATGTGTACATGTGCACCTGTAAGTGTGTGTCTGGGTGAGTGTTTATGCGTGTGTTTGGGTGTGTGTGTGTGCGTGTGTGTTTGTGCTTGTGTATGTGTGTGTGCGTGTGCATGTGTGTGAGAGAGAGAGAGAGAGAGAGAGAAAGAGAGAGAGAGAGA